TTGGAAGATATTTGACCAGTAGATAGTGTGTCACCATTCATAAAACTTGGAAGCTTCTTATACTCTGAAAAGGCAACATGAAGTAATAATAATTTTGACTCGTTAAAGTTACATTTCTTTCGGCCTCTTAAAAAGAGGAAACTTTCAACAAAACAACCTATTAGAGATAACTTCCTTGTAAGATAAAATCAAATAAACTTACCGTGAGATCCTTCGATTATTAACAGAGCTTCCTGAAGAAATTTTTCATATTCCACAAGACTTTCCTTATAAACCTCACATTCTTCTTGAACCGGTGGGGCAGTTTCCATGCAGACTTTGACAGCCTACAACAGAACATCGTGGCATATAAATTGAAGACAAATAGATAAATAATAATAATAATAATAATAATAATAATAATAATAATAATAATAATAATAATAATAGCGAGGAAGACCAATCATCGATGAAGATCATGTTAGCTGTTCTAAGTTGGGCCTTACTAAACAAGACAAAATTATCTACTGGCATATTTAGTGTTTGTTTGCGAGCATTTCTACATTAAAAGTTCACTTGTGAGCTCGATTTGTTGACATGGATCAGTATAAATTGCTTATGCCGATTTTGCAAAAGTAGGTTGAAAGATATTCAATTGTTGAAGTTCAACACATGTCACGACTTTCCAAAAAATGGATCTGCTACGTCTTTAAAATAAACCGAAACACATAATACATTACATTACATTAACATACCCAGTATATTCCCAACAGGTTGGGGTCTGGGGGGTCAGTTGTACGCAGACCTTACCCTAAACCGAAACACATAATATTTAGAACAAATGGACTTCCATAGCTAAACTTTGAAAGTGCTACAAGCCTACAACACAACCTCTTAATTGTGACTGAATATAATTTTACAAACCAAGAAAATAATTCTCATCACTAGAAAAAGCAACCTACTTTTGAAATGATAAAAAAAAAAATAGATATTAAAGAGATCTACTATTGATCGATTATCGTAAATAATGTGCCCGTTGGATGTATCTATCAAAATTCAATAAAATCGAGGCTTAACATAGCTAACTGTGGAAAAATATAATGTCTGGCTATAATTTTAAGCATATAGTTAGTCAAAATTCACCTCATAAGCACATAGTAGGCCCAGATTCTCAAGGCAGAACAAAACTCCAGTGTAATCATTGGACATTTTTTCCAGCAGCTGTTTATATTCACTGCTCCTTTCTGTGTTCTGACCTGGCAGAGACTTTTTCAACCCAAGCAAAACTGCATCAAACTGCCGAAAATAGGAAGTTAAGGTACTAAAGTCAGTGCCTAATATGTACTATACTCAAAATGAAAACAGCAAATAATAGTACTTTTCACAGAAATCATTTAGGGAAATCACAACAACCACTCGGCAGCTTACATATAATAATAATAATAATAATAATAATGTAGAAGATAACACAATATATGCACATCATTTTTTTAAAATTCTTCTCTAGTGCATTAAATATGGGTCTACACAGTCCACAAACTAACATCCCGTGAGTATTCGAATTCACCTTAGACCATGAATGTTGTAATTTTGCTTTCAATTCCAAATAGGCAGGTTGCATTGGTTCATAAAATCTACATATTGGCTTGGCTGTGGGTGGCTTGGCTGTGGGTTTACATTCCTCAACTTCAACCTCGTCTTCTAGCATATACACCTTCACAACCACAACGAAACCTATAATGAATAAATAATTGTATGAAACAGAAGCAAAATTTATCAACTCCATCAAATCGAGCAGCGTTTACCCGGCAATCCAATAGACGTTCAAGCTTTAGTATATGCTCCTTGGAATATTTAATGGGCGAGGAGCCTGATGAACAAGGGGAATAAAAAATATGTTAATGTGATTATTAAGCAAAGAAAGGAGAAGAAAAACAAGGGGCAATTAGTTTGTATACTCCATAAAAGATTGGAATATATCGGTATGCTTTATTTCTAGGAAAGCATGTCTCTAAAATATGAGAGGTTAAGTTAGTCAGTTTGCTTAAATTCACTTTTAATATTAGAGTTAAACGCACCAAAAGACGCGCTAAAGAAGACAAATGATAAGGTACATTTCGATCAAAAGCCAAAAACAGAACAAAGAAAAGGAGGAGAAAGGAATGCTGAAAATGGTACAGTTTACCTTTTCTGATCATCGACAAGGCAGTCATCCCTAAAACCTTAGGTCTTTTACTGCATTTATGATAGAATTCCTTCACAAACCAAAACCTATTGATCAAATATTTGCCTGATGGGCAAGATAAGAGAACATTAAAAAAATTATAGAAAAAAAACTGTGAAACAATGGAATAATCAACCAATGACAACCTCCATTATTCTTGCGTAAGGATGTTTGCCTATAGCCCGATGACACTCGTCAAGGATAATGAAGCAAAATGTTTTGAAACTGAGCAGTGACTTCCTCAAAGCATTCAAGAAAATTTGAGGAGTCATAATTAGCACCTAAAACAACAGATAAAAAAATAAATAAATAAATAAATAAAATAAATAAAAAAAATAAAAAATTACTTCCAAACTGATATGTATGCTGTATTAACAATCCAGAATGCTAAAATAAACTGACATCATGCTCATCGGTTTCTCTCTCCCAGTTTTCACTGGTCCACTCATCAACCCCTCGAGCCCCGTAATATTCATCCACACGAAGCTCTGTACACGATTTTATCTCCTCATATTGCTGCCATATACAACCAGTAACAATGAGTTAATGTAGAGCACACATATCGAAAAACAAATTCTTACAGCAATATTTTCTTATTTGGAAGTAACGAAAAATAGTATATAACAAGTTTGATACATCACCAGTACAAGTACCAACTAAAAACTGGAGAATGTTTACACTACCATACGAATCATTGAACTTACATCATGTGAATGAAAGCATCTTTCAAGAGGGTAAACCAATGTTTCCTCAAAGATAAATAAACACATATAAACCCGAGGAAGACAAAAATCAAAAACTACATTCTAACTAATAGGTCAATATGGATTACACATCTCAAAAAACTTTTTTCACTATTTAAAAAAAAGTAAGGACAGTCGTGAAGAGCATGAAGTAGCTCATCGGATTGAAAGTCAGACAAATATCATCTAATTTCAGAACAATTTCCTACAAAAGTTCTACTGGTGCACACTGTCACTAAATCACTGACATCTAACCATCAAGTGTGGCTCAATAACTAGACATGCAACAGATAAGAACCATATGATTGCTTAATAAAAGGTCAAAGGAAAACATCAGCATAAACAATGGACAGAAACAAGGCATCAAGAGTAAGTTTTTCAGCCAGTGATGCCAAGCAAGTACAAAATTACCAACTTGCATGAACTAAAACACCAAGAACTCAAAAAGAATGAAACAGAAACACAATTTACAAACATGCCTCGTGCACGATATGAACCGTAGGGGCCAAGAAAACAATGACCCTTTTGCCACCAGCATTATCCTTCAAAGATTTCCCAATTTCTCTTACGATCCGGGCCGCAATCAAATTTTTCCTCGGCCCAGCATCCATCAGTGCTATAGTATTCCTTCTCATTGCCACTTCAAACACCTTCATATCATAGCTATCAACACCATGCAACTACATTAGCTACAGAACTCCACAATCACACTGAACTCTGTACCAATATCCCCATTTAAAACAAAAATTAAAAGAAAAAAGAAACGGGGAAAGAAAACAGGAATATCAGCAGAAAGACAAACTTTGAGAAATAAATTACCCCCTAAAATTCATATCAGAGCAAAATAAAAAAACAAAAAGAAAACAACATAGAAAGACACAAACTCGCTGGGTGTGAATGCAGCTTCTGTATCCATGGGTTCAGTAGTTTCGTGCTGGGACGAATCGAAGCTATCGAAGCTTCTCTTTAATGGGTTTAACTTCGCGTTCTCGGAGAGCTCCATTTTTTCACAATTTATTTTTTTTTTTTAATAGCTGCTTCATGATCAGGAGAAAAAGGTGAGGACTTGGAAAACAAAAGGCAAAACAACATTAAAAAAAAAGAATCTTTTTACAGAAAACAAGAATTGTGTGTCTGCGTGAGTGTGTGTGTGTGTGTGCGTGTGTGTGTGTGTG